ACTACCTACTAACTACTAACTACTAACTACTACTGCCACTACCACTACTACTACTACTACTACTACTACTACTACGACTACTACGACCATTTTGGGCGTAGTACTACTACTACTACTACTACTACTACTACTACTACTTCTACTGTGACGACCACTACGACGACGACTACTATTTACACAACTACACTACTACTCTACTACACGTCTACACCACTGCACTACACTACTACTCCTACTCGCAGTAACAGCACAGTGGCGGCAGCTGAAAAAGGAGCAACTGCAATAGCAGTAGCAGCAGTAGTAGTAACTGCGGGCGCAAAATGGTGCACGTAACTCGGATTTGAGGCAACGACCACAACAGCAGTTCAAAGAATCAAAGATTGCTAGCAATGGAAGGAATGGTGATTTTCAAGAGTCCCGCACCGTTCCGTCGAAAGGTTCCAGGGCGGACGCATTCGACTCTACACCGTACATCCGAAACATTCCGAAGCTGTGAACCCTGAAAAACTGAGGCCGCAAATCTCAACTCCTCAAACCTAAAGCCCTTCAGCTTCATCATCTGCTTTGCCCAGGCTCAGGGCTCCAAGAGGAGTCCTGGCACAGTCTGAGTAGGGGGATGTTGCATTCTGTGTCTGCTTGCATACATAAGTATATATATATATATATGTCTACATATATATATATATATAGGCATATGTGTGTAGTATCCACACGCACACAAGTTTTTCTTTTGTTGTATGTATATATATATATATACAGAGTAAACATATGTGATTCCGGTCCAGGGCCCCATGTATGTATGTCACGGTTAAGGGTTCCAGCCTGGGTTTAAGGATGATAGGTTTCAGGCTTTAAGGGTGCAATGCACCGCGTGAGCGAGAAGCGGTCTCTCGTCCTGGCACTTCTCTTTTCGTACCATGTTTCAATTTTCAGCGCAGGTATAGCAGTGTTGACCTCAAAAATAACCTGAATCTCAAAGCTCGCGCATGCCACAACGATGTAAATGACTGAAAGGAGGGTGGCGCTTTGCCTTTTGCTCCTGGGCTTCGCGACTTCCGAGGGTGCAGATGAGGTGGGCGGCAGTTCCTTCCATCCCATGAATCCCAGTACTAGTTCAGGATTCATGGTGAGATTCTGATGACCATTGCGGGACAGCGAGGGTCTAGCGGGTCAGGATTGGTTGGGGGCCAGGATTGCATTCAGACCATGGTGGTTTCTAAACTCAATATTGTTCCAGTAGTATGAATATGTATCATTGCATCAGTTGTGAATAACGGTGCATTTACGAAGAATCGGAATAGGAGCTTCGTGATCGAAGCCTTTTGGGTTTGCTGGGCCGCGTACACAAAGCAGTTTGCACAGAACTTAAGGGCCTTCAGTTGAAGCTCTTGCGTTAAGTGGGCCATCGACAGCAGGGATCTACCTGCACTTGTTTCGCACAGAGTAGCTTCGGACTTGCAGTTGGGAGTGTCGGAGGGGATGCTTTCAGGAGAACAATAGGGGCTGGTATTGTAGGTCGTCAGGATTCTAGAATCTAGTACGATGGCAGCAAAATATGTTTTTGATGGATGTGCAGTTCGTGAAGGTCAGAATTCGCAGTTTTAAGCAAAACATGGATAATGAGCTGCATCGCACAACAGTCGCCTGTGACATGGGAACCGGCAGTGAAATCAGCCGCACCGGCTTTGCAGCGGAGGATGACAGCAGTAGACGAAAAGATTGTGTCTAGTGTCACTATGAGGCCCTTCTGAACGAGCAGCCATTTTGGAAGTACCCTGTCATGTATCAGAAGCATAAACGGCAGGTCATCGACGCGGGTGTCATTGTTATGTACACAACAATGTACTACATGCCTCTGTACTCTGTGCACATGCCAGAATATCTTCTTATGGCTATCGATTGTTGCACCGTGTTTTGAACTTGCCGGAAATTTTCTTTCCCCGATGTTCCGTGCAGGTGCCACAGCTGGAGCCACTTCAGGTTCTTGCGCCCAGCTGTTGTCTGACTTCAATGTGACTCTTTGCAATATCGACTGCCCGAACATGTCTGGTGTTGTTATCGCCATCGACTGCTACTGCTGGTGCTGTTGTTGTTACTAGTACTAG